TATTATAACACACTTTGAAATTACTCGTAAACATAACTTTAAAAAAATGTTTCACCCTAATTTGAATCAAGGCACAAGTGAAGAGATCCTGTCTCATTCGAATCAGCTGATCCCTCAGTTAAACTTTAAATTAAACTCAAACACTTTTAAATGTGTGTTTCTCTGTATCCTGTTTCTGTTCAGGGCCTTAAACGAACCCGAGAGAAGCTCCGTTCATCATCAGGACCACGAGCTCTGTCACAGGAAACGACAACAAGCCAGTGAAAGCCCTTACCCAGCATTCCTTTCTCCGCGTTGGACAGACACAGATCCTTTTCTGCGGATGGAAGAGCGAACGCCACCACAAAACATTCAACCCCATCAGCCATTAACGCCAGACCCAGCACGATGAAGAGCGTCCACTGGAACTTCCCGTGGCCACAGTCTTCCATGATGTCCTCGTACTGCTCGGACAACTCCTCCAGTTCGGAGACAGCATTTCTGGCGGACCGAGCTTTCGCCCTGGGACACAGAGAGAACGAGAATGAGAAAGAATGAAAACAGTCAGAAGTGTAACTCTGTGCTGGAAACATAAAATGAAGGACGTTGGTTTTTGGTTTGTCGGGTCAACACATGTCGTTCTGACAGAACAGATACGACCCGGCAGTATTTTAATGAATCCAGCTGTCGACGCAGGCTGCACGACTCAACACGTCTAACTCACGTAAGTCAGAGAAGCGTGAAGCGTTGTGAGATCAGGTCGGTTGACTAAAAGTAAAAACTTGTAATAAGGTATCTTAAAACCTAAACAACAGAGAAATCAAACATGTGTCTCACCGTGCCGCCCTCTGAGCCGCCTTCACCTCGTCAGGGTGCGGTATCCCTTGATATTCTCCCTCGTACATCTGATCCTCTTCATCGTGTCCTTCCGTCGCGTCGCTCGCGGCGTCCTCTTCCTGCGGAGGGTAGTCTGTATGGTAACCGTACCCGTTAGGGCCTCCGCCTTCTCCGTACGTCCCGTAACTGTCGCCCCCTTGTTGTTGGTACATGTTGTTTTGGTAGGGGTCGGCCATGTTGACTCACCCGGCCTGCGAGGCTTCTGAATAATTTAAACAACAAGGCTTTCCTTTGTCTCGTCGGTTGTTTCTAGCGTTTAGAGATTCACCTGTTTTTTAAGTTAGCATGATCACGATGTTTAGCGGCGGTTAAGAATCAACCAGTGATGGTAGCTAGCATCACAGAGTCTACCAGGGTTCTGAGCCGGGTCGTCACAGAGCGTGAACAAGCTTCTCTGTCGTGTCTGCTTCAGTCGCTGGTCCAGAGTCCCGTCGTTAGTTTTCACTCCTGAAAACAGAAAAACTCAAGTTACTTCAGTCTGAAGAGATTCCCGCAGCGTTCACCAGCTCCAAACACTCGTCATGTGATGTCAACATGCGTCTGCTCTGCGAATAAAGATTCTCTCTCTCTCACCTCGTCCAACATTGTCCTGTTCTCTTGCATGTGACAAAGAAAAACTTGACATTCTCACGAGGCGATGTGTGTGAGAACCACACAGTCTGTGGTGAGAACGCAAATGTCCGAGTCGGTTTGTGGTGTCTGAAATGCTGCGTGTTGTTTTCCCTTTAAAGGAAGTTGATCTGTGGGTCTGAAGCCCAAAGGCCCCAATGATTCGGAGGTCCATAACTTAGGCTTTCAGAGGAAAACTGAGACTGTCAGGAATAACAGGTTCACACTGGCCCCGGATCTCTCTCCAGGCAGACGGCAGTGCTCGTGTCGCAGCTGAACATTTTGTAATAAACCTTTTATACAATCAAGATGGCGTCAGCAGAGATTCCTTCATCATCTTCACATCATCGCTACCTCATCGATATACAACAGGTTACTGGGGATTTCCCCCCGAAGTTTCTCCTGCCAGCCCCCAAAACGTTTCTGGATAATGTCGAGGATTCAGCGTTTCAACACGCGACGGACGCAAAGATGAGGAAAACAAAAACAAGGCAAATATCTCAGGATGAAATCGAGGTGTCACACAGGAAGACGATGCAGGTGAAGAGGACGTCTCCAATAAATAGATAAAGTGAGTGAGTTGACGGTGACGCAGGTCGACCAGCAGCTGATAACAGACTGCAGACACATCATCCTTTGTATCCAAACAGAACTAATGCTGTCACTTTTAATATCTACACTGTGTTTTCATGTTTGACCAAAAATAAACTGGATAATGTTTTTATCCAATTAGATTTATGATGTGAGAGCAGAGACGACAGCATGAAGTGAAGCATTAGATTACATCTGACTGGACCTTGATTTGGACGTGATGCTGGCTGAAGTTTTCTCTTTGAAACAGTAAAAGCAACCGGCAGTTATTGATCCACAGCAAGTAAAGACCTGCGGCTGGACCCAGGCCACAGAACCTGAAGTA